CTTCGATTTGTTAAAAAAATTTTAAGTAGTTGCAACATTTTGGTCCCAATTTCCATTTTGCTAATTGTTTCAGAACTTTATGAAGTCCGATACGATCATACGTTTTTTCAAAGTCGAAGCTAAGGCAGGTAACGTGCCCCTTGTTCGAGATAATTTTGGAAGAATGGTGCTCGAAGTGTAAAAGGGCATCCATTGTACCTTGATTCTTTCTGAATGCGACTTGGTTGTGACTGATTAGTCTACGCCGCTTCTCTGCGTACCACATTAAACGTTTGGAGATTATTTTCTCCAAAACTTTTCCTAAACAAGAAAACAGCGAAATAGGCCTATAGCTTGTAAGTTCTGATGAAGATTTTCCATATTGGGACGATTTCAACGATTTTCCAACTTTGGGGGTATATACCGTTTGAAAGTATTTTATTTTAAAGATTTACTATCCTTTTTTTAAGGTCGCTTGGAATTATCTTCGGATATAGTGCTATATTTGGGGATAGATATTCATAAGGATAAATATTTTAAGTTTACTTTGATAATTGGTTTATATCGGTAAGCCTTCTGATTTCGTAGAAGGTAATGGGCATATTCGTAATAGCTACTGGACGTATTGCATTAGCAAGATGCAAAAGCACCGTTTGATATAAAATCAATAATAATATTGTTTGTGCGAAATGGTTTGAGAACAAGCCAGTACTATTTACATACATATATTATATCTTCATGTGAAGACCATCAATCTGTTGGGATGTGTCAACGCTGGAGTCCAAATATTAGGTCAAGTAAAAAGTTTGTTCGGTTTTTATGTAAGAGATGGCGTTATTGTTCACAGTACTAGCACTGCAGCACATAAGTGGTTTGCTGGGTTTTGTTCCGGTAATTTCAATGTCAAAAATGCACCACGCGTCGGGAGGCCTGTCGTCGAAAATTGCGATAAAATAATGGAAATAGTGGAAACAGACCGTCACGTGAGCACTTATTTGATTGCTGAGGAACTAAAGATAAGCCAGAAAACCGTTTGCCGGATTCAAAAAGAAGCTCGATGTTTGGGTGCCACACGAACTAACGCAAAAAAACAGGATAGACCGAATTTCCATCTGCAAATCGTTGCTGAATCGCGACAAAATCGACCCGTTTCTGAAGCGGATTGTGACTGGCGATGAAAAATGGGTCACTTACGACAACATCGAGCGCAAACGGTCGTGGTCAAAGCTCGGGGAAGCGGCCCAGACGGTGGCCAAGACCGGATTGACGGCCAGAAAAGTCTTGCTGTGTGTTTGGTGGGATTGGCAAGGAATCATCTACTATGGTCAAACGCTAAATTCGGCCCTCTACTGCCAACAACTGGACCGCTTGAAGGTAGCACTCATCCAGAAGAGGCCATCTCCGGGAGCTCGGATGGGAGGTCCTAATGCACCCACCTTATAGTCCGGACCTGGCACCAAGTGATTACCATCTTTTCCTGTCCTTGGTACAAGGCTTAGAAATTGTTTAAGATTATTACGCAAATTCACGTTCTCCGTCTACTGTAAGAGCTCTTTGAGCTCATTTTCTCAGATGAGTCCCATTTCTGGCTTACTGGCTTCGTCAACAAACAAAATTGTCGCTATTGGGGTGAGTCAAATCCTCGTCTTGTTTAGGAAATGCAATTCCATCCCCAAAAATTAACCGTACGGATTGTGGTATGGCGGCATCATAGGGCCTTATTTCTTTCGAAATTATGTAGGCAATGCACGATGTTGATCGACTTTTTTTCTCCTGAATTCGATAAAATCGACGAAACAAGATTTGAATTTTTCTATTTGATAATAAGAAAAAAAATAGAAAACTGAAAGGCGGAGGACCTTCCAGTTACAAATATGTGCTCATACATAGACAGACTTTTTTAGAAGTGTCTATAAACCTCTTTTTCAGAGTACCAAGCGAAAAATTTATTCGTTTTGTAAATTGAAAATTTAGAATTGTTGTTGATGTTGTAGCGGTTATGTAATCCCCGTAATTTTCAAGTTGGTTGTTATCGGAGTTATTTAACGGAAGGCCTTGGAAACGTGCTATTTAGACGGCGTCAGACCATAGGGAAAGGCGTTATAGTCATGCGGGGACTCATTGCAGCTAGGATATACTTATATATATTTTGTATGTCCGGTTCTATTCTGGATAGATAGGCGGCTTCGCTTTAAGCAGAAGACTGCAGATTATTTTCTACGAAAACATCCCAGCAGAAATTGCTTGGAGAGGAGTGGAATAGGAGACATATTGTACGGAGTGCAGTGTTCTGACACGTCTGAAGTATCTTTGTGCTGATCGGCTAGTCGATTCCCTTGTATGTTGCCAACAACGTTTCTTTGTCTTTCCCCAGGTGCTGCCGGCTAGCGACTTAAGGGGTTACATGGGTTTCCCGGCTTCAAAAAAAAAAAAAAATTTTGTTATTGTCTTATTTAATTTTATAACATCTCTGGAATATTGTCCCAAATTCTCAAGTTGATATCAGTAATAGTTTTTGAGATACAGCTTTGAAAAGTTGCGGGCTCGAGATCAGCTATATTGTCACTTAAAACTTTAAAAGCGTTTTTCTCGAAACTGTGTTTTCAAAGTCGGTTGTCAAGATTTCTCGCGAACTACTCAACCGATCTTGGTGAAATTTTAAACAGGTGTGTGAGATACAATTTACTCGTACTTGGGCGGAGAATTTTTTTTTTCAATTACAACTATTTTCCAAAAAAAATGAAAATTTCGGTAAAATTTGCTCGACATTTCTTTTTTTTAAAAGGTCTGCCAAAACTCCAATTTGAACTCGTAACTAAAACACATATATTTTTTTCCATTTCAAATAATCCTGTCAGGTGTTATGCTGACAACGCGGACGCACTTTTTTTCGAGGGGTCACCGGAAATGACGTTACAATGGCGGAGTTTTAATTTTTTTTTTGAAAACCTCAGAAATTATTTTTTAAATGTGTTTTTTAAGACAGAAAAAAATTTTAATTAAATAATTTTTTATGTAAAATAAGATTATTGATGTAACCCCTTAAGGACTTTGTTGCAACCTTCTACTTTGACAATAATCTCGGTTGTATACGGAGGGAAGGAGAACAGGCTGTCAAGAGTAACGCCTAAAATCTTAGGGTCGTTGACAGCCGGGATTTTAATGTCCATCGACTGTGATATTAAGATCCAGTCTGTACTCCTTCGTCCAGTTCGTGAATATGGTCGCTGTGGAGTTAGTAGGGGACGGTGTTAGACTCCTCGCAGAGAAAAAGCGAGAAAGATCGGCCACTGTTTACTTTTGAACACATCCCATATATTCCATTACCTGACGAAAAAAACGTACAATCAACAGCGTATGAGGTGATAGAAATTTCCGCTGCTTTTAAAAAGTGGACTTTCAGTGAAAAAAAGTGGTTGACATATGTTTATTTGTTGAAAACAATTCTTAAGGTCCAATAATATGCATTTACTTAAATTATGTTTTACCATATTTTAAACTAGTGCCCTAGAGTCTAGACTACTATGTACTAACAGTATGTCCGTCGACTTGTTTAATGTGTATAAAGTTGTTAGTAAAACTACAAATACCAAATTTTTTCTGGTTTTTTTTTCGTTTTTATTGTTGTTTTTATTAGAATAATAGTTAGCATATTACAAGTTTCCATAAATTGAGTATATAAACAAATATGCAAGTATAAACATTGATATGTACATTTCTAATATTTATCCAACACAAGAAAAAAATACAAAATACTTACCCCATGCTCCTAGATGTAAAAATTGCGTTATAAACAAAAATGTTTTATTTGTAGTAGATGATATATTATAATTAAATTTTAACGCATGTGAAACCACACAAACTCTGAATTAACAGTGTTACGGATCGTGCGGACCGCTTGTATAGTTGATTGCAACAACTTCAATTTCTCTACTCAAATGCATAATATTGTAAACGTTAAATATTATTTTTATGATGTTTTAAAGTATATTTTCTTCCATGTCTCTATTCAGAATTTTTTTCACATATCGCTTTCTTCGTATTCAGATGTCCGTTGAGGAGTTAAGTGCGACAACCAAAGATGCAGTTTTTTGTGATATTTGAGGGAATGGCACTTAAAGGAAGCCCGCTTAAGTACCACAAGGTACTTACGTTCTGTTTGTTATATATTCATTACGATACACGTAATGTTATTGAATAATTGATTATTTACGCTGCCATATTGTGAGAAATAACATAAAGGTTTTTGAAGTGGTACATAATATGGAAAATTTGTAAGTAAATTTTTAAATGAAGCACAAAATTGTGTGGTAAATATACGAATGGTACTTAATAGAATAATATCTGTGTATTAAACAAAAAAGGCGTGAGATGCAGTAAGGCACAGGCAGATAAGAGTGATTGGCACATAAGCCGGGTGGTACTTAACCTGGATTGACTGAATATATTATTGTAAATTTGTTTGTATATGGCATTCTGAAAATATTGTATATTTTCCACTGTCCAAAAGTTGTGCAAGATAGGAAGTTTTACTACATCAACATTTTTCTATGCATATAAATGCGATTCCTTTATTTTCGTTTATCAAGTTTAAGCTTTTAGAAAAGATTTATATGCACTTATGTATATAATTACATATATATTTATACACCTAAGATATATAATATTAAAGGAGGAAAAGAAATAAATTTTATTGTACTATTTATATAATATTCCATTTGTACAATAGTTTTGCCTATTTTAAATAAAAAATAGAAAACAAAATTAGAACTCCAACTTTTGCTAGGTCTATACTGTAATACGTATAATGTTTGCAGCATAAAGTAATAATTTAGAAACAAAACGCCGTTCATTTTGGATTATATCTTATGAAAAATGTGCTGCAAGTTTTTGCAGTTACAACAAATAATTTTAACAAATGCATAGTTAGTGGTGGTAACTTAAACTTTTGTAACACCTTTTACTTTACAACTGATTGATTCAAACTTGAATAAATTGTTAGTAGTTCGTATTAATTTATATGTGCTTCACCTTGCTGTGAAAAGGGGTAGAATGAGAAGAAGAATATTAAAATTCGAATTTGGTTGAATCAAGGTTAAGTAAAGTAATTAGAGTGCTAGGATCTTTTAAACCACGCCCTTTGTCTAATTCTGACCTGAAGCACACGTAAGCCTGCTGTGTTACTTTTATTGTGGTTTTTAATATTCTTTACCGTTTTCCCTGAACAGTTTGCCACGAAATATGTAACACTCAGAAGGAAACGTCGGAGACTCTTTAAAGTATATACATATAACTAATTGATTAGCGTGACGAGCTGAGTCGATTCAACATAGCCATGTTCGTCTGTCTGTCTGTATATACGTAAACTAGTCTTTGAGTTTTTGAGATACCGATCTGAAATCTCACACACGTTTTTTTCTCCCCAAGAAGATGCTTATTAGTTGGAACAGCCGTAATCGAATCACTATAGCATATAGCTGCCGTACAAACTGAACGATTAAAATCATGCCCTTGAATGGAAATCTTTTTTATTTAACAAGATTTCTTAACGAAATTCGACATCGATTATTGACAAAGGCGACGTTACAATTTGCGAACAAATTCTTCAGACAAACTGAACGATCAAAATCATGCTCACGAAATTCGGCATGGGTTATTGCCCAAGGCAACGCTACAATCTGCGAGAAATTGTCCAGCAACTATAGTATACAAGCATGCCTTACAAACTGACCTAGTTAAAATCAAGAAAAATACCTTTTTATACCCTTTAATGCCATAAGAAATGCATCTGTGAGGACTATTTTAGCTTCGGTGCAACCGAGGTTAACGCTTTTTCTGCTTTATACAATTACCGCGCTGAAGTGCGCTAACGGAATAACAGACAGACGGTAATCAATTTGTCTCGTCTATAATCGTCATATGTTTTAGGTGTTACAAAAGAAAGTTAGATAATAACTAATACACTTTGTTCAATATGTCTCCAGTGTATCAACATTTAACATATGACTTTAACGAAACTCCTGATTTATCGATTATAGATACCGAATGCATCTATCTGAGTTCTCCACTATGTTTTTCGATGTTCGAAAAATTTTTAACACCTCTGAGTAACTTATCTAATTACCACTCAACCTTAACGTAAAAAGAATACAGTTAACAGAACGAGAGAACGTATACGTCTACCTACTTCTGGTGTGCATTTTATGAGTGACACTTTAGGGGGACTAAGTATGTATAGAAACTGAAACAAATTATAAAATACTTCTCAGGGTTTTAGTTTTTATGAAGTTGTATTCGAATTTCGGAAATATTTGTGATTATTAGTTTTAGATTGTTCCTGTAATTTACAACATATGCAAAGCATATTGTAAATCTCAATGGCTTTACAACCACTGCCCATATATCAGCATGCATTATATTATATATACAATTGTATGTGTACATTCTTCAAACTATTTTAAAGTATGATGTTTTTACGAGTAACTGCAGTATTACTTTTAAGCTTTCACTTACTTTACGAAGGCGACGAAGTCATTAAGCGTTAGCTCACAGCCCGGCCAACGGCATATTCCGTGCGCATATAGCGGGTGGTAGTACTTCTTTGGGCTATAAGTGTTTTTGTTGCTATTGGCGTTTGTGGCATGGCTTGCCGTTGTGGCGTTTGTGCCATTATAGTTGATGCAATGAGTATCGTTGCTGCCGCCACTGCTGCCACTTACTGCATCCAACAGGCCACCAAAATTTGGCGTCATCGGTGCACCACTTATGCAGCTACTGTTTGCTGCCGCTACGGCAGCTGCCGCTGCAGCTGCTACTGCTACGGCTGCTGCTGCATTATGATGTGGCGCTTGTGTATGCGATGCAGCTGCTGCTACTGCTGCTGCTGCATGCATAGTCGATGATATGCCCTTTGATGGAGCCACTGTAGGCGACAGAGTCGTTATTGGCGACAATATTAGTGGTGGCGGCGGCAGTGTTAGCAAAGGGTCAAGCGCTGCTACCTTTTGTGCTACATGTTCTTGTTGCTGCGACTGTTCCTGAATTTTTTGATTCAGCCGTAATAACGACGACGTGGCGTTGTGCACTGTTGAATCAACCATATGGCATATGGTAGATACCTGTGTTGTTTCCAGTTTGTGCCCTGACTGCGACCTATGGTTTTGCGGCATAGGTGACTTAGCCGCTACTGCTGCGCCGTCGTCCATTTGCGTGCCAGCACTATCACTGGGATAAGTATGCCGTTTGATATTATCACGGTTTTCACTGCCATTGTCAGTACTGCTATTTTGATTGCTATTGCTGCTACATCTACTTCGACTTCTTGCACTAGCGCCGCGCTGTTGGTAATGCATATATGCTACGAAAACAAAAAATCACAAATACAATCAACTGTACTTATAAAAATATTAGAAAACAAAATTTAAAGTACAAAATATATTCATATACACAATGAGCACTGGATTTGAATAAAATCACCATGTATATCATCAGTTATATTGTTGACTTGGTCCACGGGATTCGCCCAAGTTGTGAACTCATCCATTTCATTAGCAGCCGAATTTTGGCTTTCATTGCCATTGTTGTGTTCATCAATAGATGAAGACGGCGACGAGGACTGCATACATTGTGTACTACGATGCATTTGCTGGGAATGTAAGATAAATGTATTTTGTTGAGCTTGTGTACTGCTGTAAATTTTGTCATTCTTGCGAGAATGTATGCGGGACACGAAATTTATATCATCTTCAGATTCAAGTGGCATTGACACATCCTCTGTAAAAACGTTGCTAGTGTGCCGAGAACTATAATTGCCGTTTTCGTTTCCTGATATAATATTCATAGTGTTTTCGTGTTGCTCTTTGTCAGGTTGCTGCCGCGCAATGCGTATATGATTATGGAAGATTTTTTTATGATTGTTGTTGTTGCCATCATCGTCGGTTCTAGTACTACGTAGATAATGCTTAAAACTATTACAACTAGTAGCAGCACTACAAATATGTGTAGAAGAAGAACAATGTGTAGTTGGCTGCAGTAATAATGGTTCGTCTCCTTCCATGCAATGCAGAATTGAAGGCTTAAAGTCACCACACAAACTACTATCATTGCTCTCCCTATATGTTGGGTTCCTTACTGTATGCTCTTCATTGGTTTTCTGCTTCTCCTGTAAAGATGTATTAATAATCTTAATAAATTGCTTGTTTTCGCAAACATCTAGTACGGCATTGTGGTTTATGTTGTTGTTATTACTGATGTTCAATTGAGTATTCTTGTTTTCGTTCGTTGTATCCTCGTCGTCAATTTGTTGTTGGCTTTGTCGTAGCCGATATTCATTAAGTGGTTTTGTCAAATTAGCTTCGTGCGACATATATATTTGTTGTTGCTGCTGATGCTGTTGCAATAAATAATTTGTTTCATAATACGTTTCATTACATTTGGTTAATGTATTCGAAGCCTGATGTTGCAAGCGTAATTGCTGGTGCTCATGACTGAACAAATTACTACAAGGTGACGATGACTTATTTAGCTGAGGTTGAAAGTCCAATTGTAAAGGTTTGACAAAGCCTGTAACACATACATTTGATAAATATAGATTTTTTATAACTGTCAGAAGTGTAGAACTGAATTCTTCGTTCAACACATTGAGAAAATTTTAATGAAAACCAATACATTCATACGTACTACTGTGATTAAAACGTAAGGTGAATTATCATATAAATAATAATATAATATAAAATGTACATTGTTTGTTTATTCTTCCAAATCAATTTTATCCCCTTGAAAGTAATCTCCGTCCGATAAAACGCACTTTTGTCAATGCCTTTTTCCAGTCCTCAAAACAGTCGGAATAGTCTTTTTCCGGTAGAACCTCAATCGTCTCCGCATTTGCTTTTTGATTTTTGATCTGAATAGCCAGAAGTAGCACGAAGCCAAATCAGGCAAAAACGGTGGTTGCGGAACGATATGAGTCGAGTTTTTGGCAAAAAAAAGTTGCAAAGAACCAGTGCATTATGACATGGTGAATTACTGTGATGAAAAAATTAAGAGTTGTTCGCCCATAATATCGGCAATTTCAGACGAATTGCTTAACGCAAACGGTGCAAAAATAAATTATTTAAAATTGTCGGTTTTATGTCTCTGGCTTCACCTAACCCCTTAAGGTATAATATATATAATTGTCGAAGAACCTGGTTTTTAAACATACTTCAGTCAACCGATATTAATTAAATAAACGAAGTGAATGACACATTAGCTCTGTTACATAAAAAATATTTTACAATACATTGAAGACAAGTACATTTTATAAAATTCGTGCGAAAGTACTTTGGATGATGGCACTTAAAATAAAAAAATAAATTAACTTTATTCTTGCTAATTACTTACTTAATTTTCTTCTTCGAAAATTCCTGTTTCAGTGATTTTTAATTATTTATTTCCAATTATTTTCAATTATTATAATACCGAGAATTGCTGATAATGCTCAACGTTTCGTTCAAAACTTAGTAGACCTAAAACATTCGTTACAACTAATAGCATTTAGACAATAAAAAACCGCTATTACGGCTTTTAACTATACTGTATTTTGGTTGAAGTTTTAAAATTCGGTATTATCGGTATCCACTCAATCCGTCAAAAACAATTCGCTTGAAGTGTTTTCAAACTTAAACTTTGTGCCAGAGGAGTTGACTAAAGTATCAAAAAACTAAAACAGCTTTGTAGCAGTATAACAGTATAAGCTGTTTTAGTTTTTTGATACTTTAGTCAAGCGTTTATTTAGGAAAACTATTTAATGTATTATTTAAAGAATTTTTAATCAAATATTTTGCACAAATACATAGAAAGGTAAAAAATTTGTTCAGCCGTGGAGAAAAATCCCAAAACTGGACGAGACAAACTACAATTTGATATCGTAGGTTATGCGCTAAAAATGCAGAATAATTCAATGTCATATGTTGTAAAAACACACTGGCAAGTGAAATTGTCTCTAAACAACTTTTCGAACATTTCAATTTACTTTTGACAGATCTCTAAGCGAATAAAAAACATACCTTGGTGAATCAGATATTGTCGTTGTACTAATTGTAGCTGTTGTATCAGTTCTTGTTGTTGTACGCTCAAATGGTGTTGTAGTTGCATAGTGGAAAGCGTTTCCCTTAAAAGTTGAGTCTTGTTCCTTAGAAAGGTCTGGTGATGATCATGGTGATATATTTTCTTTGAGCTTGGCAAGTCAAAAGAACTTTGTTTATTGCGTACGTCAAAATCTGCGGATCTTTTGGCTATGCGCATGCAAGCATCACTATTACAGCATATACAGTTTTGTACACTGAAATTTATATTCTTAGGTTTGTGTTTAGTTTTGGCAATTTCATTGTTATTTCTTAAGTCTTCGCCTCGCGATAAACCATCAAAGGCTATTAGCTTCTTATCTGAAACAATTTCAATTGATTTTTCTTCTTGATTGCATTCTAGTTGAATGAGAGCTGAAATATGACTAGCTCTGTTATCAAGCTCTACTATCTCATTTGAGGCCCTTCTCGGTGCTACGAACGGTACGTTCCATTCCACTGTATCTTCATTTGATTCATTTAAATTATTGTGTTTTAGGTTTCTTGTTGACAATGACTTTGTTTGACTCCTAATTAAAGCCTGATAACTTTTGCGATTGTTGAAAATGTCTCGAGTTTTTTGAGCTGAATGCTTCAGTTTATTTTTAATTTTTAAACGTTGCTTTCTTTGCCAGTTTGACTCTTTATTTACAATATTTTTGTAGATGCTTATCGAGAAAGGTTGATTTTCAGCACTTACTTTTTTTTTCCGAAACTGACGTAGTTTTTTATTAATTGTTGTGGGTTCTTTCATTACGCGAATTAAAATGCAGCCTGAAATGTAATGGTAAAATAAATTAATTGTGCACACATTTACAACTACTGTAAACCTTAAGTCCAACTAAATCTGAGCTCAATGAAAACCGTAATCAATATACCAGATGTAACAATGGGTATTAATCACTAGTTCGGGTTAGAAATAAATAAATATAAAATATTGAAAAATTTAAAACCAAAACATTTGCTTCAATTAGTAGCAGATTATAAAAATAATGTTCTCTTATTCAGTTTACCTGTTCGACTTTGTGAACCGAAGTGAAACGTTTAAGCAATGATTTTACCCGTATTGTTCAGTGTGTCTCAACAACATGAGCACAAAAATGTTTCTCTAATCACTGCTGTTTATACATATATAAATGATCAGGATGACAAAACGAGTTGAGTTCCGAGTGAATGTCTGTCTGTCCATCCGTGGAAGCGATAACTTGAGTAAAAATTTAAATATTTTGATGAATTATGTTATACTGATTATTAGCCGCGTTCCTTGGTTCCCAAACGGAGTTGGTTTTGCAGATGGGCGGAATCGGACCATTGCCACGCCCACAAAATGCTGGTAAAAAACATATAAAGAGCTATAACTAAGCTCCGAATTAAAATACAAAACCGTTATTTGGTACAAGGTATCCCAGTGAAAAAAGGCCATCTGTGGGCTGGGCATTTTTAAAAAGTAAGCATGACCCCGCTCTGTAATACGTTTGATGGGCATATCGCACAGACCACTAGATCTATTTCAACCAAACTTGTTGAAAGGAAGTCCTTCGACGACTTCTTTATTATATCATTATCATGTTACGTTGTGAAAATAAGCAAAAACGGACAATAACCGCGCAAACTTTTATACATATGTATATAAAACTTTTGGTATGAATCTTTCACTTTACAGAACATACAACCTACCTACCTAGATATATTAAGACGCTTGGCTTTTTTTAGTGATTAGAGAACAAAAACAAATATAATTAACCCAAAATTTTTTTTCAAAATATTCTACAATAAGATCTTCACACTTTTGCATGCGTTTTAACCAATTTTCTAAGCACTTTTGCCACTCTAATTGCAGTATCTCCGAAACATACGTTCTGAACGCATCAACCGCCTCTTCAGGTGTACGGGAATGCACGATGTGTGAGAGCTCACATTGACGAGGTTAAGAGAGAGCTGTCTTCAGCGGTTGGTTTCCCTGATTTCTTGAAAGACAACTGACAAACAAATGGTTGTGTACCACTCAGAATTTACTGTTCTACGTTGTTCTAGTGGTGTGGCTGCGACTTGTTCAGTTTTTTCCAAAAAAAAAACAGACAATCATTTGCTTGAAAGTGCGTTGAGTTCGTCTCATCTGGAAACACCCATACAGTCGACCGCTGTATACTTTCGGACTCATATGCGTAATCCACGATTTATCACCTGTCACGATGTCACGATGACATGTTTCTTGTCCCACTAATGCCTATAGATGTCTCAATCAATATCAGTATCAAAAGTTGTAACAATAATAGCCCGAAAATATTCGCGATGTAATTACATTTTTTGACCGAGATGAATATTTTAAGTTACTGTAAGCAACATAATTATCGCTCGTATGTCAAAACGTTCTGAGTATGTATAACATCAAAAATGTCAAACTTTATCTTGTTGCGAGTTACCAGATTGCAACACTATTGAAAATATAATAGTGATAATAGTATGCCACGGAGTCCAAACAGGGCAAAATCATTCAATACTTACATTAGCCTAATATATGTACATCGAATGTAAAGATTTTCGAACTTCGGGTTGACTTTATACCGAATATATTTATTATAGTCAACATATGAGATTCAAGGAAATTTTAAGAGTGATATACGAATTTAAATTTCCGGTTGAATTTATACCGTATATATCGGTTACAGATGTCTTAGCATAATTAAGTGAAAGCATTATATTGTATATGTGACTGCGTAATTCTGAGAATATGTGAAATCGGTCCACGATTTACCCCAAACTCCTTATCTACATATATAAAAATGAAACCCGTTTCCCCTTGTCACGCTATAACTTGATTATTTCACGCCAGTGATTATTTAATTTTAATGTATAATAACATAAGAAGTTTTTTTTTCGGGGGAGGTTGAGAAAAATGCCTTCCGCATCGTCATTGTGTCGTCACAGCAATGGTATGTGCCACTTGCAGGTCAACTTCCTAAAATATCCATGCAAGGATAGCATCTGAGTAGTGTAAAAATCCACCTCACCATGTTTCCTGTTAGACTATTCTTTTACTTGTATGTTTTGGATTATAATGGCCGTTCATCTGCCGTGGCGTCCTTGCTCCCAGCGAGCTTGCCATTGTTCCAAGGTGTCCTTCTTTATTTCCTCTTTTGTAGCGGCAGTATCTGTTCCTTGTTTCTTCAACGTACACATTTTCTTTCGTTCAAATGCTAATAAGTCGATGGGTGTGTTTCCGCTTATTACATATACAGCTTCGCCCGAGACCGTGCGATATGCCGATGCTACCCTTGGAACAGCTGTGTGATACACTTTTTCGAGGGATTTGCGTCGATTATTTTTTCTCAATGTGTCTGCCCATAACTCTGCTCCGTAGAGCAAGACATTTAGTGTTGTCGACATCAAAAGTTTCCGTTTTTCTAGTCTATTCTTACCCCCAGGTAGTTGACAACCTTTTGTGTCCTTAATGTTTTTGTTGTTGTCTTCATGTCCAGCTCGGTTTTTTTAGTGGCAAGTTTGAGACCTTTCGCATCAAGACAAATTTGAGCTCTGATCATCACCTGGTTTAGCTTCGCGCGCGCATATTCGGTGTCTCTCGCAGTGATTATCGTCTGCGTAGCCAACTAGACAGGTATCGTCGGGCATATCGAGGCTTAATATGTCGTCGTAACTGACGTTCTAGAGGTCTGGGCTGAGGATTGATCCCTGCGCAGCTCCTGATGTGACCTTCAAGTGTCGTGGTCCTTTAGAGGTTTTATACAGCAAAACTCTGTCTTCCAAATAGCTCCTCACTATTATGCTTAGATATGTAGGTATTTCAAAGTTTTCCTCTAATGCTGCAGTCATGTTTTACCAACGTCAAGGGTGGCGAGTTAAACAACTTTTCTGAGTTTATTGCATCCTCGGTGCTCTTCTTCTACGCTCCTCACGACATTCTCAATAGCACCCAGTGTTGATTTACCAGGTCTGAAACCATATTGCTTCGGTGATAAGCCGCCTGCCGTCATGATTGCTTCTTCAATCCGCGGTTTCAGCATTCTCTCGAGAAACTTACCGACTATCTGGATAACCTTTTCCTTTACTAATTAACACGAGCTGTTGTTTTTTCCAAATTTCTGGGAATACGCCGGCTTTGAGACAGGTATTAAACATTTACGTTTGGGCGGCTTTCGGCGATTATTTTCAGTGCCTGTGCTGGTATACCGTCTTGTCCGGGTACTTTGTTGGGTTTAAGTTTTTTTGCCGTCGTTTGCCACTCTTCGATGGTGAAGAGGGGTGCGTCATTGGGTGGTTCCGTCGGTCTTATTTTCTCGGCTCTTGTTTTATGTGTGGGAAATAAGGCATTGAAGGCACGCTCTTCTTAACTGAACAATGTTCTCTGTCCACCAGTATGCAGCGCGTTTTTGTCTCCTGCATTGAGTCCGAGGCATTCCTTTACTATATTTTTCGGTGATTAGCCTCATTGTCTTCTTTAAGTTTTCTCTTGAGTCCCCTATGTCGTTTTTTGGGAGGTCATGCTTATAAATTTCTGAGATTAGTGCCTCGCTATTAAGTTTAGATACATTCCAGTTTCTCGTGGTACCGTGTAATCTGTTCTTGGTGACTGCGTTTTGGGGGTCTATTTCGAAGGTTATGTACAGGTAGTCACTGCCAGTGTAATCCTCCATAACCTCCCAGCGCTTTACTATGCTTGCTATGAGCTCTGACGCTAGTGTGATATCTGGTGTAGTTTCTTCGCAGCCTGGTCTCCTAAATGTCGTTGCTGCTCCAGTGTTGAGTACCATAACGCCGAGCCTGGCGGCCATGTCAAGTATACGTTTACCTCTGGAGTCAATATTTCGCATTCTCCATTCAATAGCTTTTTAATTATGCTTTTATAAAGTGTCCTCCAATATCTCGGGCTGTGTCTTCTATGCTGTCTAATTTGGCTTGGAAGTCATGAATATTATCGCTAAAGATTAAGTAGCAGCTTATTATGGTGCAGAGGTCGCATTTGGTCGAAGCCAGGTCGCGGCAGTGCCACTACCGTCTTCTATCCATATTCCACTCTGTTTCCTTTTGTACTGCTCGCTTATAATGACAACGTCATAATGGCGATATAATAAGACTAAGAAGTTTTTTCTTTGCTAATAAGTGTTTGTTAATCACGGTAAGTTCAGAGCTTAATATCGATTTTTGGTAACTTTTGATGAGTACATAATATTAAAATTTGGTATACATGGTTGAACAGAAAATATAAGGGAGTAATTTTTTACTTTCAGTTGAATTTTCGTTTTTAAAAAAGCCACCAAGCAGACGTACAAACTTAGGCCGCAGAACTCGAAATACTGTAAGTCAAAGGTATATAATAGTCCAGTCATTATAGTAAGTTCACCTCGGAATTCAGATACCCAGCTGTAAGTCTGTAAATACTTGTATATTGACACACTACAAGTTGTCTCAAAACCTACATATGGTAGGGTGTACGCGCTTTTTTGCGCTTTTTTTGTAAATATCTCATTTCCTATGGGTTTTTTGCTATTGGTATTTATTATCAATATTGTAGAATACAAAATTCTCTACAAATTTTGTTTAAAAATTTTTTTCATACGGTGAACCGTTTTCGAGATAGAGGGCTTAGAGCGCGCGTTCACAGCATCACTTCAGGTCAACCGGTGCCTCCGATCAAAAACGCGCCATATATAGTTGATGAACTATCGATAAATCAATGATTATAAATATTTGTCAATTTTTATTAACTATTATATTATATTTTATCATTTTTTTCATGCCTTAAATCTTTATCTATTCAATAATACTGATCACCGTTTCCTAAAATTAAAAAATAATGAAGGGAAAAACTTAAATCTTACTATAATTATATTCCCATTAACACTAATGACATTTTAATTAGAAAATAATTAAGTGCATCTTCTTTAAAATCTGTATATTTGTAAATAATAGGATAAGATATTGATTTACTCATCATTTTAATTGGGCGTACACTGTCTTACGAACAAGAAATTTTCTTTAAAAAAGTTGGGAAAGGCAATGTAAAAACGGAGATATACATGACTAAAAGTTTTGATAATTATCCTCATTCCAAAACACATATTTTATTTCTGCACGCATTTGGATGAACTAGCTGCAGCATTTGAGGATTATTAGAGAGATTATTAGAGAGTGGAACTCAAACCTTATTGGCAGTCTATAATGCTCCGAAATCTGTGAAAAGTCTCGATCATCTTCGTTATATGCATTACGTCAAGTCTACAAAACTTAATAAACCTGTGCAGCTTTCAAATATTCCACCAACAAATGCAGCTGCTCATCAACATTTCGAACGTGTATATTATATTATCAAGTTCAAACTTGGTTAGGGCATGATTTGGAACCCCAGGTATGGGGTTGGGCAATGCGAAACGATTTTCTGGAGCCTATCATGACAATTTTACCACCTGCTCCAGAATACTGGTTAAATACAATTTTCTGCAACCTAAGAGTGGGGTTCTGATGCGGATGCAGGAAAGCGAGTAAGAGTAACTAATAATATTTGTGTTATTTCTCTGATTTACGTTTTTTATACATTTATGTTTTCTTTCATTTTTAATTTTTTCGACAAACAATCATTTCTCCAAACTTTTTCAATTTCAAAATTTTCAAATTTATTTTCCAAATATATAATTCAAAATAATTTTTAATAACCGTAAAAATTTATAAATTTGTAATAAAAAGTATCCTATGTTCATTCTGACACCTCTAAGAGTATATGTACAAAATTTCATGATGATCTGTTAAGTAGTTTTTGCGTGAAAGCTTAACAAACAAACGGACTTTCGCATTTAAAATATTAGTATAGATAGTTAATAAAAATTGACAAATATTTATAATCATTGATTTATCGATAGTTCATCAACTATATATGGCGCGTTTTGATCGGAGGCACCGGTTGACCTGAAGTGATGCTGTGACCGCGCGCTCTAAGTCCTCTATCTCGAAAACGGTTCACCGGGAAAAATTTTAAACAAAATTTGTAGAGAATTTTGTACTACAATATTGATAATAAATACCAATAGCAAAAACCATAGGAAATGAGATATTTACAAAAAGGGCAAAACGCGATTTTGTGACCTTTGACCTTGAAATTTAATAGTTGCGTACACCCTACCATATGTAGGTTTTGAGACAACTTTTAGGGTGTCAATATACAAGTATTTACATACTTACAGCTGGGTATCTGAATTCCTAGATTCTTACCTAATTTAAGCGTAAATGACTGGACTATAAGAGCAAATTAAACTGATGAGCAACGCAAAGGGTGAAATGAAGTTCAACGGAATCGAAATCAACAACATAGAAATGTTGTGTTTAATCCCCACAGAGCTGCATTCAGTTATAATGTGGCAATTGATTACAGTTCAGAGCAAATTGTTCCTGTTAGACTAATGAATGTTGTGTGTGTGGAAATAGGGATTGATTTTTATATAGAAGATATTATAGATTCCAGTTTAAATTGAATAGGTACTCTTACCTAAGATAGGACAACTGTCAGCTATACAAAATAAAGTAGTGCATCAAAGCTACGCTATGGCGGTACGAATTTCGCCGGGTCAGCTAGTATTATATTATATATAAATATGTTTGTTATTCTGGCAGACTTTATGTCGGCCAGTGTGTGAGTTATCTTCATAAAATTGCTTAGAAATATGTTCTCGAGTATACTTGCCAAAAGTTATTGCAATCAGTTCAGACCTTCCCCTAACTCCAATATGCTATTTATAGTTGTGTTCGACTTTACAACTGACTTTGAACCAGATATAGTGATTTTCGACTTTCCAACTGACTATAAATTTATGTTCCAAATGTATGATGTTTTAATGCAACGTAAAGGTTTTCTAAAAAATATAGTGGTTTAGTGCGGAATATGAATAAGATTGATGAATATTGCTTTAAGCCTCATATCCCCAATATAATTATATCCGAAATGAACATTGTGTCTATATACATATGTGTGTTTGCAATTAGATCGGAGACAATATGTTTGTGAAATGGTTTTCGCACATTCCTGCTACGTTACGTTAATATAAATTGGCACCATTTCAAGTTTTCTGTTATCATTAAGTTGACAAATTGCTGCACATAGTATATCTTTCACAGCAGATTCGGAAGCAGTTGCATGACTAACACTGATGTTATTTATGTAAGCTTGCATTTCCGATTGAACTCTTAATGAATTAAATGAATTATAATTATTTATTATAGATACTCCTTTATATTGAGAGTTAATATGTTTCTGCCGACTCACGCAATGAAAATTAAAAATATTCACCTGCTCAGTATATTCATACTCTGAACAGGATATTTTAAGCAACGAAGTTTGTGACACCCATTAGGGTGACAAGCTGAATCGATTAGCCATGTCCGATCTGAAAGAAAGAAAAAGACGTGTGGTTTGTATCCACAAGAAGCTACTAATTTGTCAGAACCGCCGATATCGGACCACTACGGTATATAGCTACCATATAAACTAAACTTTCTAATTTTTGAAGCTAAACCTATTATTTTTTTGTTTAACTTAGTTTCGGATAAAACAGGGGTGTTTATTGATTTGATTGATTAGAAATATCTTCTGAATGGTATCATCGAGAAACCCTGTCAGTTTTTAAGCTTCGGCTCCCAAGTGTATTCAAATTATAATAATAAATAATATATATATATATATAAGAAAGTCGTGTAATTTAATTTTAAAATATGTAATTTGACTGAAAATTGGTGGGGAGGTAGCTTAAAAGTCAATACAATTCATAAATACCAAAATTATATTTCAAACCATAAGTATGTGTTTAAAATTCATATAAGAATCATTTGAATGTTTTATTACTTCAAAAATAAAACAGTAATAATAATAATAACAACACATAACTACTGCAAGAGTACAGTCATTTTCATATTTACATATGGATTATACTGATTGTTGCTACTGAATAAGGCGGTTTTTTGTTAGGATGTACCATGTGGAGTCAGTAAGACACTTTTAATGGCACAACTGAAAATCGCATTGACATTTGCATTGCCAAGGCAATTTTGCGACTTTGCTAGATTATGAGCGAACGACGTACAGGCATTCATAACAAACTAAACGCAACATGTAACAGAAAAAATTGCGAAGTAGCTACAGTGTAGATAAAAAGTTCAATTATTATTTGAGATAAGTGCATAATGGCTCACAAATATTTTCGAAGCATTGCACAGAACAATGCAATATTTAAACGGCAACGATGAAGTTTTAGGTGGTGCTGTCTTACGAGTACAACTATCTGGTGATTTTCGACTGATCGGTTACCCTTCGCATTTCTTAAGCCAATGTGATTAACGATTGCTTAGTTCTTATGGTGAAGTGAACTTCAATTAACTATAAATATTTGCGAACAATTGCAAACTGATTCCTCAGAAATAATTCAATACCATACATGCATTATACTGCCAGACAAATGTTGCACCCCTTTTCACGAAGAAAATTTATTAAATTAATTAAATCATTCGTTATTGTTGTTGATGAAAATAAAAACGTAAATTATCTAGATATACGCGGAATGACATCACATAATCTACCGTTGAATATTGGTTCCCCCATTTAATTCAGTCTTATTTCAATCCACCTCAGTTATGCAACGGTACACGTTTAGTAATCAAAAAGAGTACAGAAATTTTTATTGTAGCAACCATTTTGAATGTAAAATTAGAGAAGAGATCCTCTTGACACGTTTTCCAACGATTATGTCAGAATGTCCGATGCGAAAATAAAATTGAATTTGAAAATGTTTATCCATACTAATACTATAAATATGAATGTAAGTATGTTTGTTACGCTTTCACGCCGAAACCATAACCGATCATCATGAAACTTTGTACACATACAGGTTGGTTGAAAAGTTAGTTGGTTTCACCAAGAAATTTTTTTTCTCAAGTTGGTACATCTGTCGTGAGAACCAATGCAAAGTTACAAGTCATTCTGTCAATTAATTATTTGTTTACAAGCCCTTTGAAGTTGACGTGTCAGAGTATTTTTAATATGGAAAAATTAAAATCGCGCAGTGATTAGATCTTTTTTGAAAGGTTTAAAACATAGAAAATTTATGAACGATTGTTGAAGTGTATAGAATCCTCACCTTCAAAATGCACGGTTGAATTTTGGGCTGGGAATTTAAAGATGGTCACTAGGCTTGAAGCGGTCCACACTATTTGGATCGTTTTACAGAAATTTGCGTCGGTTTATAACTTGGATGAGACTTGGATACCACCACGATACTAAATTGAAACAAGAAAGTTTATGGACTGAAGTGTGTTCAGCTCCAAATCAGGTGAGTCCAACGATCAGCAAAGAATGGCATCAGTTTTGGGATGCAAAGGAACTTTGTTGATTGATCTCAGAAACCTGAAAAATTCTTCGTGGAAAGCGTTTTCGTCCAATGAAGAAGCTATTACAGCATAGACGGGTATTTTGTAGAGCCCGGAAAGTCATTAAAGGGATGGCATAAAATTATTGGAGGATCATTGGAATAAGTGTACTGAAGTTAAGGGAGATTATATTGAAAAAATATATATTGTATTTTCGTACCAAAAACAGTATTTTTTCATTTTGAGCTCACAAATTTTTCAACCAGCCTGTATGTCCTATGGTATTAGAAAGATGCAAAGAAATATATGTTTTTTACAAATTGTGAATACAAATTATTTTAGCAGATCATATCTGCTGGTAAAACAAATTT